TTTTGACCTCCTGGAGGAAAGGTGGAAGAAATCTAATAAATATAGATGGGCCATGATTTATATCCAAACATAAATTCTGTATGAGAATTGGGGAATGGGGGTTGGGGGTTGGACCAATGACCCTGCTAGGAAATGAGAGTGAGGAAAAGGTGTGGAACTTTGCTTTTGAGAAATGGGAGCTTTCTTTATGGCCATAATAGATACAATAAGGGACTTTAAAAAAAAAATGGAATGGGAGAGTTAACTCTTCTTCCCATGCTGCAATCCACTCAGAAAGTACAGTCCTCATGCCTAGTAGGGCTTGGGGGAAAAAATAATACCATGTCTACTTGGGCCCTGAAAAAGTGGTCCATAGAGAAGAAGAGAAAGCCAGATGGCAGAATTAAGAAGAAACGCTGAGTGACAGGGCTCCCAGGAAGGAAACAAGCAGATGCTGATAATCAATGGAAGAGTAGTTGGGCTGAGCCCATATGCACCGGATCCTCTAGATTGCTCGTAATAAACCATCTTCACTGCTAACACAACCTATCCTCACTGCTCTCAATGATCTCTTCAAAAGTTTTCAGGAAAGTTAAGCATATGATGTCATCTATTGAGAACCCACTGAAGGAGTTGGGGGGGGGGAATGCTCATTGGGGACTGCCCAATGAGGGTAGCAATTAGAGATGTTGATAGGAAATGTCACAGGCTTAATACGGCAAATAATGCTCTGAAGGACCAAAGCTTGCATCTTCGCAAACATGAGCATAGAGGGCTCGGACAAAAGCGCAAAGCGTATTTCTCACATGCTTCAGATTTGCTGTTCTGCTGGGTTTCAGCAGAAACCAGAGACCTCATTAACACATCTCTGTGGTACTTCTTGGCTATAACAAGCGACAGCTACGCAACAGAGGCGATTAGGCACTAATGAAGTTAAGTGTTGCTGGACTTTTGCAAAATGTTGCTCTCCCAAATGAGGCTTTCTGTTTTGAAAACAGATGGCAAGAAGGCTCTCTGGGAATCGGCAGTGTTTGTCTAATCGGACACAAGAGGCAGAAGTTTTTTGAAGTTCAAGTATACAGTACACTTAAGCTGTGGTTAGCTTTGGAAGGAACCTGATATATAATAAAGCCTATTAATTGGCTCATAGAAGTAAAAGAATGACAGCACAAGGTTCAGAGAACCGTTTTCAAAACTAATGAAGGAAAATTAAATTGAAGAGCTACATGCATGTCAGTGGGTGATTTTCTAATCCAGCAGAAGTGGCCGCTTACCCTGTCCTTGTTCTCAGTATCAGCTACTGGCACCGTGATTAGCAGTCCTCAGGATCCTCTAATCTACATAGACATCCTGATAACCAGATGACAATTATGTCTCATTGTCTTGTTTCCAGTGTTGCTCCCATCATTTTAAAACTGCAAAACTAAGTGGAAATTTGGCTTCCTGGAATCTCAGTTTAGTCTTCAAAATGCTCAGCACTTAGTTTCAGTTAAGTCCAATTGTTTGCAGAATAGAATACCAAAAAACAAAACAAAAAACAAACAAAAACAAAAACCCTATATAAACCTTGCTGGAAAGATTATCACAATATTTATTCATCATACGTTTGTTCTTCAGATGTATTGCACATGAATGCAAAGTTTATAAAGCTGGGGATAAACCACCAGTGATGGTGGACAAGATAAGTTTTAATATAGAAATTGGGTCACATTGCAATAAATCTCTTTTCACTCAAAATTCTGAGATCCAGACTGATCTCTCAGAGCTTCAGGCATAATCACAGAATAATAATACTGATAGCTGATGTTTTGTCTCCAGATCACAAACCCATGGTTATTTATCCTCTGCCTATTATTAGTATGATCCTGATGACTAATAGCTTCAGGAGCGGCTGTCAAGTTACTATTTGTCTTGTTTTGAGCCACAGTCAAGATTTTGAAGCTTTGTAGGCCTTAATTGTGGAAAGTTTAATGAACAGTTGACTGTTCCAGGAATCTATAAAATGAAACACGCATATATCAGGGCTCAAACCATTCAGATGTTGGGCAGGACTGGATTTTGTGAGGGAAGAAACAACCCAGATTGTCCTGTGTTTTCCTTCTCTCCTAATGGCAGTCAATTTTACAGAAGTGAAGAGGGAGAGGAAATGCACACTGGGATGACATCCTGACATTGATGAATGTTGCTGTGTATTGCAAAGGCAGAAATAGACACACAGCTAACACACACATGTTAGCTATATCATTTTATCTCTAATCATGTGCTTAGTTTTCACAAAGGAAACTGGGTGTTGAGATTGGAGTGAATTCATGTTTCAAGACAGAGGGACATACCTTGAGGCCCTAGGGTATGTAGGATTCCCCAAAGCTAGGGCTGCAGTCATCAGAACCCCTCCAAAATTTCCTATTGAATTGTAAGTTCTAATATGACAGAAGGCAGAAGGCACAGTTTACAGAAGAAAAGGCTGAGAGGACATCATAGAATCATAGGGTTGGAAGGAACCTTGGAGTTCTTTTAGTCCAACCCCTGCCCAATATCTAAAAGGCTATAACATGTAAGAGGGGACAGTGGTCTTCTTGAGGGCAGGACATAGACCGGAAGGTTAAAATGAAAAGGAAGGTGGCTCAGGCTGAATACTAGGAGGATTTCCTGAGATTAGGAACTGTCAAGCCGAGGAACAATCTGCTTAGAAGAGTGGTGGACTTCCTCTCATTGGGGGCTTCAAATGGGGACTGGATGGCCAACTGGTGATAGTTTAAAGGATTCTTGCACTGAGCACAGGCCCCTTCCAAGTCATACATACTATTATTATCTGATTCATCATATTAACTATTTAAGTTTAATTAAGCTTAAATTTACAATTCATTGTTGTTCCAGATCTTCCCACATTTTGGATGCAGCCCTTAGTATGCTATTCAAAGGCCAGATGCAGCTTTTGTTCCCCAAAAAGGAGCATAGCCTCACCTGGGTCTAGAAATTGGCTAGTTTGTATGAATGTTTCTATAACTGCATAATTGCTCAGTCTTTACAAAAGCCAATAATTATTGTGGTGACACAGTGTTTCTTCTGTCAAAGGAAACTGTCATTATAAAATTTATCTTGTACTTTCTTACACTCCATGTTAGATTTCTTTTGAAATCTATGCTTTCAATCCAACATGCTCAGGTCAGGGGGAAAATGCCAGGACATTATTTTTATTTAGAGAAGCATTTGACTTCTGTCTATTAAATAAATCACACTGGTCCATTCTATTAGGAGCAAAAGTTTGTTTAAAACCATATAGACTGAGAGACTTTTTCATCTATCAAATGACAACATATAAATATGACTAAATATATAAACATGTAGAACAGTTAATCCAATTCATAGCTGTTCAGCATTTATTTTTATGTCTCTTATAATAAAAATGTCAATGATAATTATTGATCATATTATTTTCAAAACTCAAAGAACTTTTTTTTGGTAAGTCAGGGATCTCAGCCCCAAATACAATCAGTTCTCATACATACAAATACATACAATCATCTCAGCCCGCCCCACTCGGTCCAGCAGAAGGGGCAGGTTGCAGACCCCACCCGTCAAGAAATTTTGCTTGGTGGGGTCTAGGCAAAGAGCCTTTTCTGCTGTAGCACCCGCCCTATGGAACATCTTGCCACCTGAGGTACGGTGTGCCCCCTCCCTCATGGCCTTCAGGAAAGAGATCAAATCCTGGCTCTGCCAGAAGGCCTGGGGGCCGGAGGGGGGCCCGCACCTGTGGAGTTGGCCCGGCCAGCATCTTACAGGTTTTTAAGGGCCAAATTATAGGAGGTTTTTAGGCCATTTTTAATATATGTTTTTTTTAACTATTT